ATGTCCCACACTGGCCACATCGGACAAAACAGGCCAGCCCCACTCAGCCGCCGACTGACCGTGGCTCTCCAGAAGAGCTGGCTGGGTGCAGGGGAGGAGAGGGAGCTCAGAGGAGCCTCCTTCTCAATTATTCATAGTGAGATCTCAGCTGATGGAGCTGGGGCTTTCAGAGGCTGGTTCCTAATGGAGCCTGCTGACGTGTCTGGCCAGTAAGCACTCCTGGGCCCCGAGCAATTCCCACTTCTCCCATCTCTGTGTCATAAAAATGCCACCTTCTCCTGCTAATGATGCATTATGCAGCCATTATCCAGGGTTCATAGCCCTACTGCCACCATGCAAAGGTCTTGAGCTGTTAGTGGTGGGAAGGGCGGTGTGTGCTTTCCAGCCAGGGAAATCACAGATGCTGGGATCTGCCAGGGGTCCTGCCTGTGCTGGAGGCTGACAGGGAGATGACAGGCTGTCCAAGATCAGCTTGCATAGGGAGGGGAAGAGGTACCAGAGAAAACAGGCGTAGTTAGAGCATAGCATGACCTGCAGCCATCCCACCCAGGTATTTTAGGCAGAGAAAAAAGAGGATTTGACAGAGGACACTTGGGGCTGTACCAGCTGACACCCCAGGTGCTGCAGACCAGTTAGCATGATGATTGCCTGCAGGACATCTCCACCAGCAGAGTCCAACATTGCCATGGAGGAAGGGTGGAGGCAGTGGTGGAAGATGACTCAGGAATAGCAACATTAATGGTTGGTGGTTGTGTAGGAGAACGTATTAAATGCTGCAGCAGGAAAGCCTCCCAGCCTCTCAGCTGTTCTGGCTCTGTCCCTTTGCAATGCTGGCCAGGATTTCCTGAGACTTTCACCCATTCCTGTCCATGTTTGCAGCCCACACCAGCTGGGCAGGGCTGGAAACACAACCCTGGTGTATGCACAGCTCAAGGTGCCTCATAACCACAGAGAGGGCTCATGAGGGCCACAGTATCATGGCAAGGCTTAGGCCACCTTGCATAGTCCTGTGTATCATCCCCATGCCCACTTTATCTACTGACCCATGCAGAGGGAGGCACGGAGAGAGGACTTCCATTTGCTTTAAAAGCAGCCCACGAACAGGGTCCACTGCGAGGCTGTGATGGCCAGCAGGAGATCAGTTTGCCAGCTCCCCCCATGGGGACGTCTGGTACTGCAGCCCCAAGGCCGTGCTGGTGGAGTGGAAGATGCCTGGTTGCCCACGTCGGCTCAAGCATCTCTTTGGATAGTGCTTGTTGAGGCACACGCATGCAGTGGCAGCTGCTTGAAATAAAATACATGGGTGTGAAAACATGCATGGAAACACATGCACCAGCGGTCATACACATCCGCCCATGCACACAGCCAGCTGCTTGCTGAGCATAAGGACATACGGACATACATGTAAAAACACACAGGTGTTCTCAGGGCCATGTCTTACCCCTACACACAAGCACCCTCCCCCAGACCAGACTGGGCTTTATTCCTCGCTGTGTGCTTGCAGAGCAGTCCCAAAACATCACCAGGGCTCCCGGCACCTTGCCCCATCACCGAGAGCCCTTTGTCTTCATCTCTGGGTCCTACAAAGTCCCTGTCCACGAGGGATGTGTCCCTTCCTCCAGAGCTGCCTGGAGGGTGTCTCTGGCTCTTTAGCTATGCTGATGTCATTAGCTGACCCTTAATTTTGTGCTCATGCATGCTGGCCTTCCTTATTTGCAGGAGAAAGCCATTAGCTTCCTCCACACACACGCATTAGGAAATAATTGCCCTAATGGGCTCTACCAGCCTCCTCGCCCATGCACTGTGCAGGTTTGTGAACAGAGCCTGGCCGCTGGGCTCATACCTGTGGGTGGGGGACATGGCTCCAGCATCACCATGGGAGAGGGAGATGCAATACCAGTGATGTACAGGCATGATGGAGTCAGGACACTCAGGGTACCTCCAGCAATTGCCAGCAGCTCAAATCACAAGTACCAGACGCATGCTAGCAGCCTACAGCTAAGGGCAAGCATGCAAGGTGCTGCATGGGGCTGTTCACCAGTAAATTTGGCTGTGAGTGAACAACCAGCTGCCCACAGCCCCATGCTGGCATCTCCGCTGATGGACATGGCAGGGTCAAAGCAGGACTATGCAAGTGTCCCTGCCATGCAGGAATGTTTGCAGAGAACACAACCATCCAGTACATGTCCTGGAGCTGCAGGCATGAGTTATCCTTGGGACATTAGGTCACCATGATAAACCAAAGCACTGAGTTACTCAGGACTGCACTGGAAATGGCCCCAGTATCCTCTAACAGACACATGGAGGGGGGACGGGACAAGCTGTAGAGCATCTGGGAGCTCTGGTTTGCTGGAGATCCAAAACTTCCCCAGGGAGAAGAGCAGGAGAGGACTCGCAAGGTCTGGATCCAGCCATCAGTTTTAATAACAAGAAAATAGGATGAGGGCAGCCTTTCCATCTGCACGGGAAGGGGCTGGGAACCTCTCTCCCAGATGTAGTCAGACCCTGACTCTGTGCCTCCGGGAGCACCAAACACTGGCCCTGCTGCCTGGAGACGAGGTGGCTCTGGAGAGGACGTGGGGACGTGGGGCCACCGAGCAGCGGATGTGGCTCGTGCCCATGGGTGGAGGAGCATGCCACCCCAGCAGCACTACTGGGTGCTCGGTGCAAGATTTCCCTGGGAACCTCCAAGCTCTTACTGAGACCCTCACCTGCCAAAGGCTGGGGCTGGGGGCCCAGCACCCATTCCCCAAGGCTGGTCCTGCCAGCCCCGACAGCCATCCCTGGCAAAGCAGTGCCACCCTGTGGCAAAGGCCCTCCTTGCCGCCAAAGGGGGGGATGCCCCTGGACCCCCACCCCAGACCTCCAGGTCCATGGCACTGGCTGCCCCTGCTGATAACCCTCCAGCCCCGGTACCCTCTCTGCTGGTCCTGCTGGAGCCCATGACCCCGACCAGTGCAGGACATCCCATCTCATCCCAGTGCTGCCACTGAAGCTCTTCCCTGTCCTCGTTGCCTTGTCCAGATTTCTCCAGGGCTCCATCAACAGCAGCCAAAAGTGGGTTCCTCCATCCCTACCCCCGGGAAGCCCCCCAAGCTTGCAAACAAGTTGGGGGCCCACTCCCACCTCCCAGCAGCCCTCAGCCAAGGGGCTGGTTCCCTGGCACCCTGCATTAATTCCTCAGACAGACTAATAACAAGGTTTATTACTAAATAATAAGGCATGGATGCATCATTAACAGGTAATCATTTCTTGTGAAATAGGATTTCCATTCCAATGTGGTGCCTCAAGCACTTTTCCCCAGGTGATCTCCCAGTGCTTGGTGCAGGGGTCAGTGTCATTGCACCCCATGTGTGGGTGGGGAAACTGAGGCACGGGGTGGGAGAGTGCAGCAACAGCGTCACAGGGAGAAGCCAGGCAGTCAGCAGCACAGCCAGGGCACCATGCCCTGACCGTAACCCCAGAGGAAAGGAGGGGATGCCACCAGCTCCTCTACCCCAGGCTGCTCATCCCTTGCCAGCCCCAAGCAGTTCTTATTTGTTCCCCTGAAATGCTGTGGCTGATCATGAAGCCACCTCAGTGGCACTGCTGGCCATGTTTGTCCTCCCTGATGCTCAGCTGTGCAGCGGGAACCCTGTTTCAGGGGCACGGGGACGGTGCACCAGCCCTCCACCCCGCTGTTACCTCCTGCGGGCACTGGCGAGGTACGTCCTGCCCCTGGTGCCCGCAAAAGCACCACAGCCCTCCAGGCAATGACTTGGCCGAGAGCAGCACCCACGGGGCCAGGGACTGGGTCACAAAGGTGGCAGAGGGTGCAGATGCTGCATTGGGGTGCACAGCTGGGGAAAAACATGACAGGGGAGCCCAGCACCAGTGGGCACCTCTGGCATGGGAGTGATCAGCAGCCCCAACTCCCCCCTGCCCTGAGAGCAGGCACGGAGGGTCCCAAATCTCAGAGGTGCCTCTCAGATGTCCACTCCCCTCCCAAACCAGGGCCCCTGAGATGAGGGGCTGGGACTCCTCTGGGTGGGACCTGTCCCAGAGAGGGCAAAGCCGTGAGGCACGGGGCTGAGCAGTGCCTGACCTGTTTGGCGCATGTGAAAATGAGCCGCAGGGTGCTAACCCTCAGGAGCTGGATATAGGGATGAGGAATCCTCACTCTGACGAGGCACGGGGCTGTAGTGAGGAGAGCAGGGTGGGATCCCAAACCCATGCCCTTATACAGTCCGGGCGTTTGGTTTAGCTCACTGCCGTGCACCCCACTGCCTGTACCAGGGTCCCCCGGGTAGGAGGGATGGCTGTGACATCGGGAGGATGGCCGCAACCTGGGGGAGCCCAGAGAGAGGGGAGGGTGAGGGTGGGACTGCCCGGGGGATGAGCTGGTGCCCCTTCCTACCCCATCACTCCCCAGGGAGGGTAGCGTTGGCTGGTGGAGGGGAAGTTGAGCTCATGAAGGCCAGGATCTCTTTCTCCATCTTCTGGTTTTGCTACCCATGTTGCCTGGTAGCTAAAGGCTCACACCTTTGGTGTGGAAAGCCATGAGTTTCTGCTCCAGGATGGCTGCACCATATACCCCAATGACCCCCCTGGCCTGGCAGCGTGACCCTGTGATGCACAGAGCCCTTGGCTGCCCCCAGGCTCTGGGGTCCTGGGTGCCATGGTCACAGCCCCCAAGGAGCCAGGACAGAGGGAAGGGACCAGCACAGCCCCACCGTTCCCTGCACAGACTGTCAAGGGGGGAGAGGCCCCTGAGACACTGGAGGAACCCACTATCAGGGTTCGACCCACCATAATTTAACCAAAAGAGGCAGAAAATGCCAGCAGTGACACTGTGAGCACCCGAAGGTTCACAGAAAGGTCTGAAAGCCCATCCAGTCCCTGGTCAGGTAAGAGAGCTGCTTCTGGACTTTCTCATGGGAGTCTTTTGAGAGAGGTCCCAGCCCTAGCTCTGTCCCAGCATAAGTGACACCTCCCAAGTAGCTGACCTGATCACAACCCTTCTATGAGTCCCTCTTCACCAGCAGCAGCCAAGGGAGCACAGCTGCCAGCATGGCCACAGTCAAGATGAGGAGGACGGCGAGGGCAATGGGTGACTGGCAGCATTTCACCCCCAGGGCCGAGCTGGATGACACCAAGCTTGGCGTTTCCGCTCTGCTTCTCCTCCCCAGGGAGCCACAGTCTACATCCACCAGTGGCATCCCATGGTCGCTGATGACGAAGATGTGGGCTTCCCGCGCCAGCTCCCCTGGGACCACCTGTGAGTGCAGGGGGTCGTTCCCCATGCTGCAGCACCGCTCGAAGCTCTGCACCGGCATCACAAAATGGCTGGGCACCACCAAGGTGTTGCTGGCCTCCATTTTGGTCAGGTGGGGCAAGGAGGAAGGTGACAGAGGCATCTCCAGTGCCTGGGGGTTGGTGCCCGCCTTGGGCAGCCATAGAGCTGCCTTCCTGCTG